GGGCAGAGACAGCCATGGGCGAGAGGAGGAAACGAGTTGCCCACGGGGGAGAGGAAGGGGCTGGCTGTTCAGGTTGGGGTATACCAGCAGCATTTGCAGGTAGTAACAACCCAACTCTAGGGGCTTTTAGGCATTAGGTGGGCACGGGTCTGAGGTGAAGCTGGTGGAGCAGCCTTTTTCGAACTCCACCAAAATGAGCTAGGAGTTTAGGTGTTTGGGACAGCTTCACCAGATTCATCTGTGGATCAATGGAGTGAAGCTCTCACAAACAGTGTCCCTTAGCCAGTTTCCCCAAAATAAGCATAATCAAACCTATGAAGTAAATTTGACTTTGTCCAAAAATATTCAATCCTAACCCAAACATGTTATTGTGTGACGAGCAGAAATACTTAATGAAAGATGTACCAAATTCTGAATGAACAACAAATGTAAATGAATATGCCAAGTAATTCAGAATTCATGGGGGAAACAGATCGATTTAAATACTGTGTACCTTACAAACTTCATATTCAACATCCATACTTTCCCCTAATTGTGGTAACGAGCTAGATAGCATTTCGATGGCAGGATTGTCGTTAGAGGGTGATATACCCAGCTGCTCAGCTGAAATGGCATCCAAATAGATAAAGGGAAAGGAGACTTACGTCAACTAAGCAAGATGAAATCCATATAAATAAAATTCGAATATAAACTAATACATACATATAAATAATATTCAAGCATATTCCTCCCGTTCCTTTTTAGTCCGCGTTTTAGAATTGTCTCAAGCCAAACTTTGTAAAGTTTGACCAGCTTTATATTAAAAAATGTCAACATCTACAATACCAAATAAATATAATATGAAAATAATATTCTACAATGCATGTAATGATACTGACTTGGTATTAGAAACGTTGATATTTTTCTGTACAAGCTTGATCAAACTTTACAAATTTTGACTTCAGTCAAAGCTAATATGCAGAGTCAAAAGGACCGGAGGGGGTACTATATAAGGTGTTGACTTCAACAGGTGACATTGGTAAACTATATAAGGTGTTGACTTCAAAAAATGAGATTGTATTGTTTTGCTTGCAAACCTATTCTTCACAAAATAATCATGGAGAGCGAAATACATAATTAGAAGTTGTATGATGTTTTCAGATGTTCAAAATGGACACCGTTCGTGAAAACAATGGACGTTACCACTATGAACAGCACTCACACAGGCCAAACAAAAATAGTAATAAATTAATAATAAGCACAAGCACATTCATAAGTACAGATATTGCCAAACCTTGTATGAAATAATCACCAGGTAACTCGATATCATTGGGTGGTTCTTCATCCTCATCATAGTTCTCCTCATCAAACACTGAAACTTTACTGCAGACCGAAGCAAACATTGTGTTTGAGGATAAGTAATCTTTCTTCGATAGCAAATGGTCTTCCTCCGTAGCTGCTTCAACTTCAGGTCCATCATATTGTTCATCAATATCTTCATAGTCAATAGCATCTTCCGCTTTCTCATCATAGTCTACGGTACAGAAAAAAGATCAGGCATCAACTATTTTGTACAAATATATAATTCAAATGGGAAACATTGAATATCAAAGCTGTCAGAAACAGCAGAAAAATGAATAGTTCACAAATTAGACTCGACAAAGACCCATTAGAACTTGCTCATGCTTATACAGAATTACAGATGTGCCACTTACCTTGCTCAGAAGGATCATCTGGAGCTGAGGAAGACTTAGTTAGCTATAAGCAAACAACACAGTATTAATGCATTTTGAAAAGAAAAAAAGATTAATCCCATTAACATTGTGATTATCATTGGATAACATACATCAATGTCTTTCAGCGATGGACCAAGCTTGTCTGCCAGCGCAAAAAGATGGTCCTTCGCATCCTGATAATCAAGAAAAAGTCGTAAGAAATGAAGCACAAGCATCATTACATTACAAAGACAACTAAATAAATTCTTGTTGTCCAAAGTTCAAGCAAAAAATCAAACAATGGAGGTAAATCTATGCTGCAGAACTGACTGCTTTGGGTTAAAGAAGACCTACTGAGGAAAAGCCAAAAATGCTTGGATGGTTTTCCAATTACAAGAAAACAGTAATATGGACAGCGGAATCATCAGTGGATTCTTTGAATTTTAACCGTCATTTTAATGGCAATCCTCCTATACAGGTCCAAGCCACTCGTGTTATTTCTGAAATTTTCTGAACTTGACCCAATATCGAAAGTGTACCCAGTTATGTAGTGGCTGCCTCCAAAAAGACAGAATTACTATTCCTACTTGTATTTCGCAGTGCCAATAATAGATAACGTATTTCATTTCAACAAAAAAAACAAGATTCTGGGACGTTGTAAAGTTAACCTTTCCTAAACTGCTAATGTTAGCTGCTATCAGGTTACAGATCACTCTAAACTGCAAATCATACAGGTAGCAGGCAAAATGATAATAAAGCACTTATGTCAAATAAAGTTAAGGTGTACTGAATTATCGGGTATGAATCAGCACCACTAGGGAGAGATGACAATTCACAGAACCAGGGTGTTTGAAAAAATAACCCATATGCTGGTGACGAGATACAACTTGTGCATTCGCGACAACCATATCACACTGGGTAAAGCTTCCCATCAGTCTATCCGCATCATTCAGTTGACATATGACAGTATTGCACAACTAAACAAAATGTCTACATGTGTATCATCTGCTAGAGGCAGCCAGTTGAAACAGTAGAAACACAAAAACATGTGATTCCCCAGGAGAACATAGATAAGCCAACACGGCATTCACCTCGTCGAGGTAGTCAGCGTCCAGGCCACCAGCATCGTCGACGTTGCCGAACATAAACCCCAGGAGGCGATTCCCTTCACCAGGCTCCTCGTAATCGTCTTCGTCGTCGTCATCTGGGAGGATTGCCAGAGATAAGCGAGATGGGGCGAATTAAAACCGGCTCGATGACCCATCGATCGATCGGCCCTAGGGCGGGTGCGCGGCGGGCTCACCTGCGGCGCTTGTGGTCGCAACGTCGTCCTGGTCGTCGCGCTCGCCGTCGCTCATGGCTTCCGCCTCGGATACTCCGTCCGCGGAGGCGGCCGGGATCCGGGGAGGGGCGCGGCGGCGAGGAGGGGAGGCGAGGAGCGGCGGCGCGGAGAGAGGGGAGGGGGTGGGGACAAGTGAGGGCTGCGATGCGGAGGCGGTGCGCATCGGGGTGCCGGAGCAAGCGGGCCGGGCTGACACGAGCCTTGGCCCGTTATAGTAGACGCGGGCGGGCCTATGTCTCGCTTATAACGAGACATGCTGCACCGCCTGAAGAAGCCAGCGCCAGACTAGGCCGGCCCAGTGCCACAGCAAAAGAAACCTACACACACGGACTATTACGGAACTTTTACTTAATCTTTCCAACCAAGGCTGGTTATAGTGAGAGTATACCTGGTCATACCTCGGGCCGGTCTGGGCTTTGGGCTGGTCTGGGCTTTGGGCCGGGCCTAGCTAAGCCTGACGCAAAAAACCCAGGCCCGGGCCCGGCCTGGCCATCGGGCCTGTTTTCTGGGCCTGAACTCGGCCCAAACACATAAAAGCCCGTCAGGCTCCAGGCCGGCCCGACCCGACCTTCAGGAAAGTGCAAAAACGACGGGCCCGGGCCTGGCCATCGGGCGCAAAATCTAGGCCCGAGCCCGGCCTGGGAGCAGCTCTGGTCGGGCTTTTTCGGATCGGGCTGGCCGGGCCGGGCTTCCCATGACCAGGTAAAAGTGAGAGTAATATAGATGGTAACATAGTACATGCCACATAAATAAAAAATATGATGATCCAGGTAATTAATGAAGAGAAAGAAAAATAAAGTAACATAATATGTTATAATCACATAACGCTTCTCAATGTAAAATGAGTCTACAAAGTAATAAATAAAAATCTATGGAGGTGTTTGGTTCAGAAATAAACGGAATCAAATGACACTGTTACTGTAAATGGTATCGATCAAAAACCAAAACTGTTTGGTTAGTAACTGTAACGTTAATCAATACAGCACCGCCTGGTCTTGCATTTCCCCGGTCAGCTGCTTCCCGAGCGGAGAGCCCAGCCCGGCCATTGACGTACCATCCTCATGACCTTTCCGCACTTCCTCTCAATCATCCTGGCACCTTGAAGGACCTGCATGCCTCGCCGATGGTCTGGCCGAGAGGAGGCTCGGTGCGAGGAGATAGGCGCAGTACTTTGACGAGCCGGAGGCTTACCCGGGGGGCCGCGTCCACCGTCGCTGGCTGCATGCCGCCATTTGCTCGTGCAACATCCAGACCAGTACATTGCGGGTCCCTGTGCCATCCTCGCACACCCCCATGGGAGCTGCTCGTGGAAGCCATTGCTCTGTATCGATCTCTTCCCGTTCGTCGGGCAGACATCACTTCCGGCGAGGGAGTCGACAATGGCCTGCTTCCGGTTGGCGCCGTCCTCGGCTACGGGATTACACAGCTCATGCCATGGGGAGTGGTGGGCGGAGATGGAGATCGTGGCGTGGATGTTTGGGAAGAAGACGACAGGGGCGACAGGAGGGAGAGAGAGACTGCCGTATCGCTTTCTGATTGCGCCCGATTTCTTGGGTATCAGTTTTTAATAGGACGGGATCGGTTACCGGAGTTATCAGATTACGGAGAAATCTAAACAAATAAGATTTAACGTTGTCTGTTACCATTGTTATCAGATACCTTACAATAGCACGAACCAAACACCTCCTATATGTTATCACACTTATGTTATTACCCACTATGAAGGTAGTAACATAGACTAGTAACATGTGTTACTAGTCTAAGTTACTCCCCACTATGACTACCCTAGCTAACCTCTTCCTCCCTGATTTTTAGTTGAGTGGGGCCCGCCTCATCCCCAACTTCCAAACCCAAGCCCCCATGATAGCCATTCCGTTGATCCTGTGAAAAAAGACCCCGTGAACCTAGCATTGCTCATGCCACAGGCCTCAAAGCGCTCGTTTTTTTCCCGCTAGTTTCCATTTCACATTTCTAGCTTCGTTCTTGAATTCGATCGGTACTACATCAAATCTAAGTATTTTATTGATTAGGTGGCACCCAGATTTGAATTGGGGATAAGGGATTTGCAGCCCCTGCCTCACCACTTGGTGATGCTACCAAAAAATCTGACTGAAAATCTAGAAAACAGCAAGTATTCATCCTTTTTTCCTTACAAAAAGCCTCTTTCTTTTATTTTGAATATAATTCTAATTATATTTTTCCAATCTTTTTCAAAAAATCTATTCTTGTTTTTTTAAAATCCAAAAAATGAAAAATCTAGTCCTACTTACTGAAAAAAAATCCAAAAAAAGCAAGAAAGACATCCAAAAATAATGAAACAATGAATTCTAAGAAAGGAACAAAGAGAACAACACGAAAACAATTAAAAATAGAAGATAACGTAAAAAGAAGATAGAAAAAAATGATAACAAAAACGAAACAAAGGAACCGAAAAGAAATTGTAGAGAAAGCCAATGAATATCGAGAGAAGAAACGAGTAA